GATATTTTGTATAAATATATGATATTATATATATATTATTTGGTTCTTGATTAATAGAGTTGATTGTGGTGTTGAGAAGAAGAAAAACAATACTATATATATATATATATATATATATATATTATTTGGTTCTTGATTAATAGAGTTGATTGTGGTGTTGAGAAAAGAAAAACAATACAATTAATTTAGTCATATAATATGTTCTTTTATGTGTAGTTTGTTTTTAAAATATTGGAATTAAGAACTATGTGTGAAGGATTCTATGAGAGGGACAAATTATCATCGTCAGAAAATATTGTTGTGATTGTGTTTTATGTTGGAAAAGAATACGAGGTAAGCTAAATTAACTCAGAGTAAAATGATTTTTATTTTTTTTTAAAAGATTTTTTTAAAGGCTTTTGAAAACTAATCTTATTATACAAGTGGATGCAGTTGTGGAATTAAGATTGAAAAAAATTACACAAAAATTTAATACAATAATAATATGGAAAAGACATTGAAAGAGTCCGAAAGATTACACATTAAAATGATATTATTCAAATCACAATAAATTACATATTCACTCATTCAACTCAATGAAATAAACTTCTAAATACAATTAACCAATTATTGAAACATATGAGAAAACAATAATTCAACTCTTGAAATACGTTTTAAGAAAAAATAATCTAGAATTAATCCAACATAGAGATGAAAGTATATTACTAGTTACACAAAAGAAATAATTATACGAGAAATATGTCTTAAGAGTGAATCAAGGGTTCCATTCATAGAGTTTTCAAAACACTACATAAAAATTTATTTATATGCATTTAACCGATTACTTTAAGGTTTTAATAGATTATTCTCAATGAATATTAATTATAAATATTCTATGTTTTAATCAATGACTTAAACATTTAATCAATTATTTTCGATCATTATTTATTTTTGAAAAAAACTTAAAACAATATTAATCAATTATTACAGTTGTTAATGGATTATTCTTTAAGACAAGTTAAAAATACATTTTTTGTTATCTATTTTAATCTATTATCAAAACTAATAATTAATTATCTTGTTTTGAAAACACATCAAGAAACACAAAACCTTAGTCGATTAAAATCATACTTAAAACCTTTTTTTGAAAACCAATTTTTGTGTTTAAGGTTAACATTAGGTTGTATTAAATTGAATATCTTGTGATTACCTTAATGTGCACGACTTACAAACACATGAAATGAAAGTTATAACAAACAATACATCTTCAACATAATCTTTATCAAACATCATTATCAGAACAACTTCTTGAGTTGTTCTTCAAATCCAACATTTATGATGACTCACACTTGATATGATTGATTACATTGTAATATCCAAACACTTAGGTTCAAGCATAACATCTCATAGTCTAAGTTCACACTACACAAAAGACAAGAAAAAAAAAGTTATAAGTGTCTAATTTATTTAAAATTATATATCATTTACATGCTTATGTTGTATGAATTTGATAGAAAATCCTAGTGAAACAACATCTTTTTGACTTTTATAGAATGAGGAGCAAAGAAGTTAGAAAATATGAAAACTGATATTAAGATAAGATTGTTTACAAAGACTAGACCATCTAGCAACTCAAGTTTTGAAGTTTAACAATAAGCATTAAATGAAATATCTTTTTAGGAGGGGGAGTGCCTACCTGACCTGAAATGTCTAAAAACTTGCTCAAATTAAATGAAAACCTAAGGCTTTATATGAGAAGCTACACAAATTGCCCAAGTGCTAATACTAAGTCTTCTTAAATTAAGAACATATGCAACAACGTTTCTCTATAGTCTATATCGTCTAAACACATTATTTATAGGAAGTGTCTAATCAATAAGAAAAGCCTATGTGAAAGCTTTAGAGATAATATACTTAAGGATTTGTACTCATGGAGAGATAAAAAAAATTTTCATGAAGGGAACTATTTTCGGAATATGTTCAAAATAGTAAGATATTGATGGACAAATTTATGATCACCAAAATATGATGTCACAAACTTGTTGAACAATCGGCAAGTATGACCGAATTGTTTCATGTAATAAACTCGGTAAGACCAAGTATCGTTCTCCCAAAGGACTCACGGCCTAGTTTAGTTATGTGATTTGTTGATTAGCTAAGACTTAAGAACAAAATAAGTGGAGTTTAATATGCACAAGACGAAAATAAACATGTATGCATGAGGTTGATCAATGGCTAAAACAAAAGACAAGCACTTTCAATGAAATATATTGATGAATATGTTGTTGGGGGTCAATTTCATCTTATCCACTCTCATATATTTTAGGAATTCAACATTCAAGTCATCATTGTTAATGCCACTCTCTAAATTACCTTTCAAGAAGGCTTCTCCCTAATTACGAGTTCATACAATTCCTAGCATTCCTAATAATTAGTTNATATGTACAATGGAGAAGAATGAGATAGAAAAACCCTAAAAGTTGAAGATGGAAGCTCCCGCATCCAAATCTGCCTTGAAAGAGAGGAAGAGTGTGTTATTGTGCCTCCTCTGCCAAAGATATAAAACCTAGGGCGTTTGGGTCCTATAAATAGAGTGGGATCAAAACAGAAACAAAGCCCAAGCCCATCTCGCTGGCACTCAGTGCCCCACTTAGGGCGCCCAGACGTGTTGCAATACTAAAACTGGCGCTCAGCTTCACTTAGAGGGCAAGCAGGGGTGGTTCAGGAAAAGTGGCGCTCAACGCCCCAGAAAGGGTGCCCAGGCGGTGTGCGGTACTAAAACTGACGCTCAGCTTCACTTGGGGGTAAACAAGCATGGTTCTTCAGGAAAAGTGGTGCTCATCGCCCCAAAAAGGGCGCCCAGGCGTGCTGCGGTAGGCTTTGGTGCTCAAGCTTCGATCCTTCCTACTTTTTGGTGCTTTTTCAGCCCTTTTCGAGCTCCATCTCCTTGGCACTTCAGCTCTACTTCCATATTATCTCATTTCCTTCCAAAACAAGGGAATTTAGTCATAAAATCATCAAGTTCAACCTTAACTCTCTTATTCACACAACTTAACAGAAAAAAATGATCTCAAGCAAGTTTCTAAGTAGAAAAGGGTGCATTTAGTATCAAAATTGCGTCACAGATAATAGTATTTTCAACCGTTATCAGCTTGTATACTTTGTTTCTTGATATTCGTGAAGACCAATAAAGTAAAAAAATATGATTAAAATCATAGCATCGAATAAAAAGACATTGTGAGAGAAGAAGAACTTTATGAAAATGTTTCCTTGAAGCCATTTGCTCTGTCACATTATACAAGCTCAAGTTTTGCCTCGGGCTACAAGAAAAAGCTCTACTGCTCTACAATGTACACTTAAGCCTGAACAAGCTACTGAAAAAGTCTATTAAGCCTATCTTGAAAATCAACTTAGTTTCTAACCTTTATCTGACGATGTAATATATAAAGAAAATCAACCCAAAAGAAAGTTATTGTTAAAAAATGTAGAAGAGAGAAGAGGTGAAAAAGAAAGAAGTGAAAAGGAAAGGGAAAGTATGTTAAAAAATGATCAACTCTATGGTCTAATTGTCTTCAAACTAAGAAGTGTGATGAAGATATGAAAAGTTGAGGAAGAAATGAAAAGAAGTGAGAGATGAGAAAGAAAGAGAGTATTCTCAAAGGAGATAATAACATTTCAACTCTAATCTATCTCAACTCTTATATCATTTGATGATCTTCAACTCAAAGGAAAATGATGAAAGCAAGCTTTAGCAAAGAAAACATGAAGAAAAAGTTATCATCATATCTCACTTTCTACTACATCTCCAAACTTTCAATGTCTGAAGCTTTTGGAATGAAGAAAAGAGTAAAAGTAGAAGAAGAGAGAGAAGAAAAGAAGAAAGGAGCAAGCATAAGAAATATTACACTACTAAGCTTCAAGGATACACCATCTGATGTTCTTCAGCTCAAAGGAACAACCTCATCAATTATCAGGCTACGCTTCAATACTTTTATCACCTCTTAGAGAGTTACTCAAGTCTGTAACTAAACAAGATTTCATATTATATTTTATTGAAATTGTATCCTCTCATTAAGAGTTTCTAATCTGTATCTTGTAAGAATTTCGTAATGGATTTGTTGTAAATTCTAGTAGAATTAAAACACTTTCAACTAGATAAGTTGTCTAGGAATGCTAGTAGGGGCAAATAATACTCAATCCGGAATGGGTAAACTCGGTCTAGACAGTTGTCTAGGGATAGATCCTATAGAGGTTAAACTCAATTAGATGTGTTGTCTAAGGGACCAGGAGTGGTGTAAGAAT